CGAAGATTATTATTAATGTTAATCCTATAAATGATAAGTGTTGAACCTTCCAGCTGTCATTAAAAAATAACATTTTCTTTAAATGACAATGAAGTTTGTGCCGTTATTCAAACTTGTATGTTAGTACATATTTCTTAAACGAAAAGTGTCGTTTTATTTATACACAGAGGTAAAGTGTGTTTGTTTCGTTTCACTAGGTTTGTCAACATGTCCTTCCCGGAAGTCCATCAAAAATTATTTTTAATACTTAAAAACATCTTCGAACCAAACGCAACAAATGTAGCTCTGGACTGGTTCCATTAAACACACGTTTCAAGTTCAAGGTTCTTTATCGTCATTCGCATCACGTGTGGTACATGAGGTGGAACGAAATTGTGTACACAGGGTCCCAGTTACACCCAAAATATAAAGTATAAAAATAAACCGTATATAAGGATCTAAGATATTTCAGATCTTTCCGGACGATGCAGTTCATCCCATAGCAGCAGCAACCACTGGGTTTATTCTCATACACGCTGGGTCATTCTATCAGTGTACAAACATTTATTATTTTAGGTCTTTGAGCGCCCTCTACTGGTAGCTTTGTTCAGTTCTTCAAAATATTTTTAACCATCTTTTATTAATAACCTTTAAATTTAAGATTAGAACTTGTTTTAATCATTTTTGACATAAAACGAATGCCCGAGAGGATCCACTGATCCACTTGTGTCGTACTGTATCACCCATTTTAAAAGCAACTCTGTCCCTTCAAACGTTAAGTTTTAATTCAGTTTTTCTGTTATCAACCAGCTTTCAGTGAGAACAACGTGCAGCAGAGACCAGGTACGGTTCTGAGGTTGGGACTTTGGACTTTTGGCTCTGCAAGGCCACACATGCAGTGTGAGACTTTGTTGGTGTTCATCCATTAACAGAGGACCTGGTTGAACCAGGTGTCCACGACGGAGCGTTGAAGGTCCTTTTCTACAATTTAAACCTGGATCATGTGAGGTCTTCGGGGAGTGTAATGATCACGAAGCTGTCTAAACTGTGGTGGCTGTGGCTGAGCGGTTAGAGCAGGCGTCGTCCAATGCAAGAGTTGGGGGTTCGAATCCACCAGCAGTCGCATGTCGAAGTGTCCCTGGGCAAGACACTGAACCCCTCGTTGCCTCTGATGTGTGTCCCATCAGTGTTTGAATGTGATAAAGCTCTGATTAGTCTCTTTAGAATGATTTGTTCAAGTAGCTTTGTAGAGATCTAGCAGAGAGCTGTATGGATGGGTAAATGAGGGAAAAGTAGACCCACACCAGCTCAGCATCTCTCACCTTTGGCAACTCCAGAGTGGAATAAGGTCCAGCCCCTGTCGAGATCTGTTCCAGAGTCCATGCTGTGCGTCTATATCTAGACGGTACCTCTGAACCTCGTGCACAAGCTCAGGCTCCTTCCCCATCAGAGAGGTCCATGTCACAAGAGCCAGCTTCGGTAAACCAGGGTCAGAGCGCAAAGGCCCCCCCCCGCCTTTGGCCACTGCCCATGGAGTCACGCACCTGACTCATATGGCCCCTCCTGCAGTTCTAAACGCTTTATTTTCACTTGGATGAGTTTGTACTTGGACGACCCCTTGAATCGCCACCTTACCGTTGTTTGTGCACCTAATGATCCTAGGAGCTATGCTGTCGGGGGCTGTTGTAATTGCCCCTGGTAGGGTCTCCCAAGGCAGACTGGTCCTATAGGTGACAGGCCAGACAAAGAATCTTATGGACAGTAAAAAATCAAGGATCTGAGTGTCCCTTACATGGATGTGGGTTACCAGGGCCACACCCTGGAGCCAGGCCTGGGGGAGGGGCTTGTCGGCGAGTGCTTGGTGACTGGGTCTCTACCCATGGGGCCCGGTCGGGCTCAGTCCAAACGAGAAACATGGGGTATTCCTTCCTGTGGGCCCTCACCTGCAGCTACGAGTCAGCCATTTTGAAGTTGAGGCTTAGGAACCTTCCATATTCTAAGTGTCCGTTTTTTTTTCATCTGCTCATTATTCTTTGTAAGTGCAGCCAGTGATGATTATTTATAACGATGGCAAAAATGAACAACATAAAATGGCCGACTGAGCCGTCGTTCATCTAGCAGCTTAAATTGGACCCTTTCCTCTGGTTTGGAGCGGAGGGTGAACTTGGAAGGTTTCCCTGAATGTTAAAAAACCCGAGGCGATGTTTGCCAGAGTGGCCTCAGCTGCACGTAGACCCACAAAGAAACCTTTTCGCTTCAGTTCACTTTAAACGTTCGACTGAGGACCGGCCGTCTTTGCAGAAGTTTTTTCTTGGACAGCGCAGCACCGGAAAACTTGCTTTCCAACGACTTCTGCCTCTATTCAGTAGTAGTTGAGACGAGTTCCTCCTTTTTATATTTTTGTTTGTTTTCCTGCAGCTCGCAGTCTCGTCTTCTCCCACCTGTCCTCGTCTCTTCGGGCTCTTTGGACTATCAGAGCCGAGAGGTCGATGAGAATCTTTGATTCCCACCAAGATCAGCACTCAGGTTTATTTTTAATTAGTTTTTAGTAACTTTCTCAGCTTTTAGTGGACTCCACAGTGACTGGGGTACATGTGTCCCAATGGTTTCTTGCCGTGTTCCAGAGGTCTGGTTCCTGTTTTCTGATGACCTCCCACTAGTTTGCACTTTGCCTCAACAGCACTCGGCTGCATCACATTCAGAGATGGTGAGGAATCGTCTCAGATGTGCGTTTTTCGTGTCAAGATGAGGGATGTTTTTTGTGTGTGTGTTTTCCAGATCTGGAGGGTGGACAGGTGGGGTCGGGGCTGTCCTACACTGGTGGGAAACTTCTAATGGACCGTCGGAGTGCTCAAGTGGAGAACATGGTATAAACTGAGACATGATTAATTTCTACAATGTACTTTTTGGTATCTAGAATCTGTCTGTGTGTTTATTTTATGTTTTATGAATGTGTTGAAGAATCCTTTAAAAAAAATTAATTATTTTTCAGTTTCTGTCATAATTTTCCATCTTTGGAAACACTAATTGGGATTACTGTACTATGACTGGACTGATGAGTTAACGGCTGGTTTGAGCTAAGCCAAGACTGAAACAAGTTTTGTTTGTGTGGCTGTTCCCTCTTCAGGGGTCTCCACAGCGAGTCTTCCCCCTCCATCTCACTCTGCACCAACTACCTCCATGTCCTCTCTAACTGCATCCATGCATCTACTAATTTACCCACTGTCTGGACATGTCCAAACCATCTCAGTCTGGCCTCCATCTTTATCTCCCAGTTGTTCAACCAGTGCTGTACCTGATAATCTTATCCATCCTTGTCACTCCTAAGGAGAACCTCAACATCTTCATTTCTGTCTTCGTCCATGCTTTCGTCTCAAACCAGACAACATAGCTGGTTTTCCTGGACAGTGGACCCCAAGTACTTGAAGTCCTGCACCTTTGGGGCAGTTTAGTAGTTAAAGCAGTCGTCCTCCAATGCAAGAGTTGGGGGTTCGATCCCACCAGCAGGCACATAACGAAGTGTCCCCAGGCAAGACACTGAACCCCTCATTGCCTCTGATGTGTCCCATTGGTGTGTAAATGTGATCTAAAGCAATGGTTCCCAACACTGGTCCTTGAGGAACTCCACCCTGCATGTTTTGTTTCCCTGCTCCATCACACCTTATTTGAATTATGGATGCTTGACAGGCTTTGGCAGAACTTGAAGTAATAAAATCACTGAATCTGTGTTGGAGCAGGGAAACAACGAAAACATGGAAGATGGCGTTCCTCAAGGACCATGGTTGGGAACCACTGATTTGTCTATACGTTCAGATTAGCTTTGTAGAGATAAAGTGCTGTATGAATGTATGTGTAGGTAAATGAGGGCACAGATTGTAGAGTAAAGCGCTTTGAGTATCTTGATAAGATAGAAAGGCGCTATAGATCTACAGTCTATTTCCTCTCATTCACACACCTGCACATCATCGACAGCAACACAATCCTAGTCAGACCTCTCTTATTATTAGTTTTCTTTGTGATTTGTATGCCTTTACATTGCCCTTCTACAGCTGAATAATAATTGTTCACTTCATGCACCATCCAGGAATTACAGACCCTTTGGTCCAAAACAAGACGGGCATGCCCGGCGGGAATCAGCCAGACAGGTGAGCTGACATGTCTCGAGTCTGTGAACGAGGAACAAAGTTCTCCTTCTCCACAGGAAGTCCAGAGGAACAGGTCTGTGAAACAAGTCTTATCACGGCACAACAATAACGTTACGTTCAGGTGATGTAGACGTTAAAAAGACCAAAGACACAGAATGGTTCCTTTTTTATTATTTAAGGACAAACCTGCTGCTACAGAAACTGATGAACTCAAACCAGCACCTCGTAACAACGTCGGGGTCTTTGGTATCAAACGTAGATGTTTGTTGAAAGGAGGTGGAAATATTTCAGAACAAAGTTTGTGTCGTTGACAGCAGTCGGCTCTGAACTCGTCTGGATTCTAAAAGTTCTGGACAAAGTGCTGACGCTGCATCATGTGGATGATTTTTCCTGACGTTTGACACGTGTTCAAGTACTTCAGCTGCAGGGTCTACAATCATTTGTTTTTGGAGCTCGGTTGTTGACCCCTCAGGGATGTTCACAGAGAACCATGTGTGATGAAATGTGACCCTCTTCATCCCATGATGAGTAGCTGGAGAAACAACCGTCAGCCCCTTAACCAGTCAGGAGAACAGGTTTCATGTACTGGGCGGTGAGCTAAACGCCATGTCAGGCACAGTTTGGGCTTTCGGCCGTGAGGCTTAAAGACGAGCTGCGGAGTACGGAGTGTTGTGGCTGCCTTAAATTTTAGATCCCCCTGATGTGAAAACATCTGCAGATCTTTGATTTAAATACTCGTTTTGTGCAATATTTACAGAGAGGCAACTTTAGATACAGACGCACTTTTATCTAAAAAAAAAAAAACAATAAGGCACTATTTAAGTATAGAAACTATACAAATTCAGTATAAATAAAAATAGTGTTCCACCTGAACTGTTTTACAGCAGCATTATAAGTTATTGTAGTTTGTCAAGCGTAGATTGTCTGAGCTGCTGGACGCCGTACTGTTGATCCGGTCCGCGCCGCTGCTCAGGCCCGCGCTCTCTCTGGAGTCTGACGGTCGTGCTTTAGTCTCTCTGAGCTCACAGAGCCGTTTCAAAGAGAACCAAGTTACCGTCTGTTGTTGGCGTGTGTCCGTTTAATACGATGGGATGGATTCTGCTCTCGTAGGCCTGAAAGGAGTTGGAACATGACGTCAGTTTTTTTGTTCCCACTCAACTTTATTTACACAAGTTGGTCTCATCGAGTCACAAAGACTCATTTACAAGAGACCGTTTTAGACCAAAAAACCCCACAGACGAGGTACATACAACAATAAGCAGTCGTAAAACGAAATAAAAACAAGCTACATCGTAAAACGGTGTAAAATACTAAAAACAGGAACGTCTATGTTGACTTTTGCCATGAACTTAGTTAAAATCCCTTAGAGGTAAAGTCGAGAGCTTCAGATCTTTTTGTAAGATGAAACGGGAGCGGAGTAGGAGAAGGCCCTTTTGCCTAGTTCAGTTCGCACTGAGGGAACACTGCAGGTAATAATGTCCTGAGAGCGCACGCTGTAGCTGCACACACGCAGAGACATGTAGGAGGAGATGTATGGAGGCAGCAGACCAAGAAGTGATTTAAAGATGAAAATGTACCAGTGAGAGAGTCTACATGAAATTAATAATAGATCTGTCTCGATAACCAATAAATTAATCACATGATAAATGAAAATTATCGACTCCTTTTCATTTATCGGCATTATCGTTTCTTCGTGTCTCTCTTTCTACTGAAGACACTGGATGACAAAAAGCTCAAGTCTGGTGCTCTTCACTGACCCCACCATTTCTCTTTCAAATCTGTTTTAACCGTCCAAAATCGCGTTTTTGAATTTTTAAGAGAAGCTAAGCTACGAGCTAAACCATTGGGGGGGAAAAAAAAAAAACTCTGTCTTGTCAAAGCTCCAAAATTCAGGAGTGAAACTTTTGCCTTGATCTAAAAAGTTTTTTCTCTGCCAAAAGAAGCTGAGAACTGTACTGATTTTTTTTATGAAAAGCTTTGTGTGAGAAATTCTGTGCTAAAGAACTCAAACCAAACCAAGCAGCCGCCATTTTGAGATCCGAAGAGGCCTCCCTCCCATTTTTCTTAGACACGCTGCTCACATACTCACTATCCATCCTTTGGTTTAAACAGTTGTATTTTTCCATCCAGTGGTCAAAATATGTACTACATATAAAAATTACTAGATATAAAAATTAACCAACATTTCTTCTTAAATTTGACAATTACTAATTGTCAAATTTCAAACAATATTATCGTTTATCGCAATAATTTCTGAGACAATCGCCCAGCAAAATTTGTTATCGTGACAGGCCTAATTAATGACCAGTTAATCAGTGAATACAGGGTGCAGTGATGGGTACGGTAGTTACAGCCAGTTATGAATCTTAGCACACCGTGTTAGACAGCATCCAACATGTGCAGGGTGCTTGTAGGAGCATTCATATAAATTCGTCACCATAGTCAATGGAGGGAAAGTCAGTTACAAGTTGTTTCCTAGCATCCCGAGTTAAACAGGATTTATTTCTTAAAAAGAAACCCAGGTGGGACCCACACAACAGGTGGGCGTAGACTAATTTTTTCAGTGCGATGTTTTGCATGACGGGATAAACCCCACCAGCGACACACTTAAAGGGCGAAACCTATACGAAATAGAATCTGGGGTTACAGTACGTAACAAACGTTTTAATTTCAGTTTCTTTACCAAGTTTTCCACCTGAGGCTTAAGGAGAGATGTGCATCGACCAAGATTCCCAAGTATTTGTAAGAATCAATAGTACACCATTCATAGAAGGCAGGACTGCTGGTACTGACTTTCTGTTTGAAAATAACATATCTTTGGTTTTATCTGCATTTAGCACCAGTTTGAGACCGAAAAAAATCTGACTAGATGTCGAATACAGACTGTAAAAGCTGGAAAACCTTAGCAACTGATTTAGCTCAACAATAAACGACTGTATCGTCGGCATAGAAATGTAAGGATGCATCAGGAATGATCTGACCTACATATGTAGACTGTAAAGAGGGTGGGTCCTAAGACTGAGCCTTGTGGTACACCATTAAGTTTCAGCTTTACAGACAAGTCCAGGAGATTTTCAAGTCAGACTAACCTGTTTAGCTGCTTCTGTCAGAGCTGCTGCCTCCTGTTTGCCCGTCTGCTGCACCATTTTATAGAAGATGTTGTTGGTGTCCTGTAGCAGGACGTACGGCTCGGCGTAAGCGTGGATCCTTCCTGCATCTAAAACCTGGACGGAAAGCAAAAACTGTCAGAAGGTGGAGAGCTGGGATGAAAAAAAACGAAAAAGTTCATGCTCTGACCAGGATTCTGTCGCTGTCGACGATGGTGTTGAGGCGGTGAGCGATGGTGAGCACCGTACATTCACTGAACTTGTCCCGGATGGTTTTCTGGATCAGCTCGTCCGTCCTGCAGCAACAAGAAGACTTTAAAGACCACCAGCTGAGGCACTGACCTCAGATCTGTGTGGTGCTGGACTCTGGAGTACCTGGGGTCCACGTTGGCCGTGGCCTCGTCGATGATGAGGATGCGGTTCTTCCTCAGTACGGCTCTGGCCAGACACACCAGCTGCCTCTGGCCCACGCTGAAGTTGGAGCCGGACTCGGCCAGAACCGTCTCCAACTTTCCCGGCAGCTCCTCCACCACAGACTTCAGCTGCACCTGCACGAGTTTTGTTTGGTTCCGATAGAACTCAGTCCGACTTCATATAACTTTCTAACGATCTGAAGTGTGTGTAGCTGCTGGTGTCGTGTCTCCTGACCTCTCTCAGGGCGTTCCACAGTTCTTCATCAGTGTGTTGGCTGAAAGGGTCCAGGTTCTTCCTCATTGAGCCTGTAAACAGCACCGGATCCTGGGACATGGAAAGAGTTCTTAACTCGAGGCCTTCTACGCCTTCAGAGAAGGCCCATGCATTCAGCTCAAACGAGAAGTTGCATGAAAATTTTTATTTATACAACATATTTCCAATGTAGTTTTTGATTTTCTGTAAACTACTGTTATGTGCCAGGCACAATGGCTTTATTGTTTTGTCTCTTTGGTCACGTCTTGGGTTCTGGGTTGACTAATCAGCCTTTAAATGTTTTGGGCTGTGGCTTTTTCAGCCACAACTACTTAAGAGTCTGGTTTCAGGGAACATTGGTCCCCTTGCTCTCTCAGGCTCACTCTGTTTTTTTGGCCCTTCTGAGATGCACTGGTTTTGTCCTTGAGCTGTGGCCTGCTGGTGGCCCCAGCCACCTCAGGTCATTTTTGTTAACTTTTCATGGGTTGTTTGTAGGTTTAGTCTGATATCAGTAGCGCCTTCGACGAACTGTATATGGCTGGCCCGCTGCTGTACCTTTTTGTTTGGTTTGACAGGACCACCAGGTCCATCTTTAAGTTGTTACTTTGGATTTTTGGATGGACACGGGAATTGAGGGTTCCTGGTTTTTTCCAGGAAGCTGCAACAGTTTGAATAAATTGAATGTTTGAACTCCTATTTATGTCTCGTGTCCTCCTTTAATGCGTTATGTTCTTGGTGGACGTAACTTTAGAGCTGAGCAAGACAAACTCGTGAAAACTTGGTCGTCAAATCTGATTCGCGTCTCCAGGCAGAAATATGCTCTTCGTCAATGGTTAGGACTTCGCTGCCAGGAGAGAAGGCTGAGTTCAGTCAGAGGCTCTGCACTATGAATTTATTTAAATACCAGTAACTAAATTAACAAATCATGTTGTTGACGTGGAGTGGGCGGGACCATAAAATAGGTAAGCTGAGCCTTCAGGAATCCATGTGGGCCATTCTGACAGCGTTAGTTGTTTATGTCTAAAGCAGTTATGGCAGACATGAACAATGTAGCTAGCTTGTTAGCAAAGTGTTTCCTTTAGCGGGGCACGCGTCATATTTTTTTTTTTAGACGGGAGAGAAGGAGGATGGGACTAAGCCTTCTAGCTTAGCACTACCTTGCTGCAGGTTTTTATTGACGATGGGTGGGGGGGTATGGGGGACGGAGTCGTGTCGGTGTTGCATGCCTGCTAGCTTAGCGCTACATTACTGATGATTTTATCGACGGGACGGGGGAAATGCGGAGCGGTAAGTCAGTAGCATTTTTGCTAGCGTGTTTGTATTGCGTCCTGCGCTACATCAATACAAACCGTCGTCTCTGGGTGGGGTGGGGGGGTGTTTGGTAAGGAGGGAGCTCAGTTCTGTTGACTTGTATAATGGTAGGGGAAACAATAAATTTGACAATAATGACTATTGTCAAATTTCAAACAATATCGTTTATCGCAACAATTTCTGAGACAATTAATCGCCCAGCAAAATTTGTTATCATGACAGGTCTAGCTTTTTATATATTTTGGCCACATGAAAACTTGCGGTGCATTCGATTCAACAATCCACATTGTAGGAAAAAAACTGTTTAATGTCCCATTAAGGTTCATATTGATCATGTGCTGTATTTTGGTTTCATTGCAGAAAGGCTAAGTTCTGTGGGCTACTGTTAAAACTTCAGTGTAGATCTTTGAATTTACATGGTGTACTTGAACACACCACTATGACAATTCATTGTCTCATGCCGTTAAATAAATGTGTATTAGCCCGATGTTTTATAAACAGAAGCACAGACTGCATAGACTGCGTATTTTAGCTAAGCTGAAGGTCCAGCTCTGATATTCACGGTCAGTACAATAAAAAAAAAACTAAATATGTGAAGAGCCCGTTCTCTTTTAACCTCATGAACTCCGTTAGTCTTGAGTTTTTTTCCACTGTTAAGTTACTCTGAGCTCTGCTGGTCAGATTCGGCTACAGGAGGACGGCCGGGCTCACCTGAGGAATGATGGACATCTTCTGCCGCAGGTCATGGAGGCCGATCTCAGATGTCACCACACCGTCGATGTAGATCTTTCCCTGAGGTTCTCCTAGGCGGAACAGAGCCGAGACCAGGGAGCTCTTCCCAGCACCAGTTCTCCCAACAATACCCACCTGACACACGGGAGAACATCAGCCTCTGTCTCACAAACAGGAAGTGGTGCTCTGAACAAAATAAACACGTCTGACCTTCTCTTTGGGTCTGAACGTGGCTTCCAGGTTCTGCAGCACCACAGGGCCGTTATCGCTGTAGGAGAAGCTGACCCGGTCAAAGATCACCAGGCCTTTGTTGGGCCAATCAGGAGGAGGGCGCTTCTGCATTTCCCAGGGTGCTTCACTCTCCAGTTCTGTGTACTCCACCACTCTCTCTACTGACGTCATCTGTAGAAACACAGTTCACTGATCAACACCGGAACAACATCCGCTCCAACTAAACATGGAGTGATTAATTCCCACCAACTCCAAACCTAAACCTAGTTCTGATCCATTCGGACCAAAACAAATTTCTGACCAGAACTTAAGAAGGTTCAACGCTGGATAACAAAACGTCTGAAAACATGAACGTCTCACCAGGTTCTCCACCTCGGCGCTCTGCCGGACACCCCACTGGAACATCCCCATCAGAGTGACCGCGTAGCTCAGAGCCAGGCCAACAGAACCGGCGTCCATCTCTAACAACCACAACAAAACACAAAGTCACGTTTTTGTTCGCAAAACTGCAGCTTTCACAGACTGAACTCGTTCTGGTGAGCGATGTGACCGCCTACCGCCCCCTGGTGGCACAGAACATGGAACATCAAGAGGGACTTCAGTGTAAACTGGTTACCATATCACTTTTTTATAAAGCACTTAAAACAGCAACAAGGTCAACCAAAGTTCTGTAGAGCAAAAATAAAACAAGCAAAAGACACAACAAATGTCTTGTCTAGTACGGATGTTTTATGTGCGTACTGACTGTGAAACAAAATGCCCCTTGGGGATAAAGATTATTGAATTGAACTTAAATCATGATATGCTCCCATTTGTAAATGTAAATAATTAACTTTCTTCAAACAGCAAAGTTAGTTATGGAGTTCCACAGGGTTGAGTGCTTGGACCAATATTCTTTATATATGCTTCCATTAGGTAAAGTTATTAAACAGCATGACTTTCATTGTTATGCTGATGATATACTGTTATATTTGTCCATGAAACCCGATGAGTTCAGGTTGAAAGTTTCCTTACGGTCTCTGAGCAGTAGGCAGCCAAACGTGGTGATGGTGACGAAGAAGGCGCACATGCCATCAAGACGAACAGCAAACCAGCGAGAGGTGACCAGGAACAGGAACCAGGCCTCTGTTCAGGATCACAAAGTGTCACAAACACTGCAGCAACAAGGAACCAAAAACCTGATGTGGATATAAAGAGGGGACCTGAGTGCAAGTTCTGATGGGCATCAAAGGCTTTCTGGAACCTCTCCTCGGCTCTGAAGGCTCGGATCGTCCACAGGCCCTGAAGCGATGAGGACAGGTGGGAGAAGACGGGACTACGAGCTGCAGGACAGACAGATGTTTAGGGAGGCTACAAATATTTGATGTCTGCCTTTAAAATTACTCAAAAATATAAATCAGGAGAAAACTTTTCTTCACATCTCGTTAAGTTTTGGGACACTCACTGGTGGATTCGAGGCGCTTGACGTCTCTGGAGGTTCGCAAGAAGTACTGACGCAGGTAGAGAAATATTCCAAGGAGGGGAACGACCAGAATGAGGATCCAGGGGATGACTGATGACGCCACGGCGATGACCCCGAGAATCTGCATGAACACCTAATTGGAAACAAAAAAAAGACAGAAAAATAAACGACAGAGAAGCTCAATCATCCAAGAGGAGCAGAATACAATTTCATACAACAATGTTCTTTTATTTAGGGTTGGATCAGAGAATACTGGTCCAGGAACAAAACCTCACTCTGGTTTAGATTAGGGAAACCAATTCACTTCTTGTATCCATCCATCCATCCAGTATCTTTACCCGCTTCATCTTTTCCGAGTTGCGGGGGTCACTGGTGCCCATATCCAGCCATCACTGTGCAAGAAGCAGGGTACACCCTGGACAGGACGCAAGTCTATCACAGGGACACATAGACTTCTTGTACCCCATGTACCTAAATCAGCACACCTAGACCCCCACCCCTGGCAGACACTCTGCTCACAGTCCATCCAACCATGACTACTTTCCCTGCGGGCTCACATGGGGGTGATTCCAATATTTTCCTAGTGTCTTTTTTAGGTCCAACACCGGGTCCTTGAGCACCAGGCATTCAAGGGTACCCCTCCCCAAAGATGTCTTTACGTTCTGCAACATTTTTTGCTGCCATGCTTCTGCTGTGAGATCCGTCCTCACCTGAACAAAGTCCGTAAACGTCCACGGCAGGTTGGAATCCAGCTGGCCGATGTCCTTTGCAAACCTGTTCAGCACCCTTCCTGCAGCGAGACCGGACACGAGTATTAGAATACGGAAGCAGTTATTTTATATTTAAAGTTCTTTGTCACTGTGATGAGAAAACAGCTGACCAAGAAGCGAAACCGTCATCAACCAGAAGATTGAGCCGTATTCACCAAGAGGTCCAAACATTCACTCACGTCTTCCTAATCCAGCGTTCTGAAGTGTTTCTGCTTACCGATGGGGTTGATGTCAAAGAAGTGCACCGGGGTTCTGAGAATGGAGTTGAACATGCGGTTGTGAAGCGACTGCGCACATCTCACCAGCACGTCGAACAGGATGAGGCTCCTCATGAAGCCAAACAGGATGGTGGCTGCAGTCAGGCCTGAAAACAAACGGGAGTCTCGGATCGAACGGGACTGAGGCGGCCGACGGTAAAGAGTGCAGTGAACACATTTACGCTTTACCTCCATAAACACCCAAGTAGAAACTTAAATCCAGCTCTGTGGTGTTTTGTGCGTTGGTGCCGTTCTTGGCGAGTAGATCGTCTTGTTTCTCAGCCCTGATCAGTCAGAGACAGAAGGTTAGACAAAGACAGAAAACCACGTGGAAAAACGGATTTGTGGGTAAAATCCAATATGTGGGTTGAGCTTTTGCTTCAAACACATTACCAGTAGGCCAGCCACCAGTCCTGCATGATGTAAGACACCTAAAGGATTGAGTGACAGTTGTCGTGATTTGGTCCCTTTAAACTAAGAACATGACTGAACAGTGGTTTGCGTACCTGAGCCAGGAAGTTCACCAGTAAGACGACCAGCAGGGTGACGACGCTGGCTCCAGCCCGCAGGTACTTTATGTACAACTTGGGTCCGATGGTCCCCTGAGCTCGACTCTCTTCTGGTACCATCTGCACCGTCTCCGTCTGAGAACCAACACGCTACTGTTTAACACACGACTGACCCCAGCTGCAAAAATAAAGTCTCCTTTAAAAACCTAATTTAAGCCATTTTCAGATAAATTCAAGTTTTTTGTGGTAATTTCTGCTACTTTCAGCTTGTTGTGCTCCTTTCATTTTATTTCTGCTAGTTTCAATTATTTCAGCTACTATTTAGCCACGTTGTGCTAATTTGAGCCTTTTCAGCTAATTCCACTTTTTTTTTTTTGCAATAATTTAAACTTTTTTCTGCCTAATTCAGCAAAACTGTTCTCTCTCGACTTACTTCTGGTAATTTAAGCTTCTTTTTGGTTATTTTATCTCCTTTTCAGCAGTTTTTTTTTTTTGTTGCTAATTTCAGCTTTTTTCAGATAATTTCCATATTTTGTGCTCATTTCTGCTTCTTTCAGCCTAATTGAAATTGGAATAATTGGGCAAACATGGTTTCTGCTTTCTTTTTGTGTTTTCAGCTACCTTGTTAGCATTTTTAGTATTTTCAGCTGTTTTCAGATAAATTCAAGTTTTTTGTGATAATGTCTGCTACTTTCAGCCTAATTACATTTTTTCTAAAAACGACAGCTTGTTGTGCTCCTTTCACCCAATTTCTGTTTTCAATTATTTCAGCTACAATTTAGCTGTTTTATGTTAATTTTAGCATTTTCAGCTAATTCCACATTTTTTTGCAATAATTTCAATAATTTCTGTCTAATTCAGAAAAATATTCTCTCTCAACTTAATTCTGATAGTTTAAGCTTCTTTCCGTTTTTTTTAGCTACTTTTCAGCAGTTTTGTGCTAATTTCAGCTTTTTTCAGATAATATCCATTTTTTGTGCTCATTTCTGCTTCCTTCAGCCTAATTGGGCAAACGTGTTCTTTCTGCTTTCTATTGCTAATTGAAGCATGTTTTGTGTTTTCAGCTATCTTGTTAGCATATTTTAGCTAATTTCAGCAATTTTCAGATAAATTCAAGTTTTTCGTGGTAATTTCTTCTACTTTCAGCCTAATTACCTTCTCTATGCTAATTTCAGCTTGTTGTGCTCCTTTCAGCCTATTTCTGTTAGCTTCAATTATTTCAGCTACAATTCAACTGTTTGATGTTAATTTTAGCCTTTTCAGCTAATTCCACATTTTTTTTTGCAATAATTTCCACTTCTTTCTGCCAAATTCAGCACAAATGTTCTCTCTTTACTTACTTCTGGTAATTTAAGCTTCTTTCCACCACTAGAGGAAGAAACAAACCACCAACTCACTTCCTTCACTCGAAACAGCCAGAAAAGAAACTACACAAACCGGCAGGTGGTCTCCATCTTTGACTGAGTGGACAGAAGAGCTCTGGGAAAGCGTTGAATTCTGGGACAGGGTTCTGTTCCTGGCGGGAACGTCGTGAGGCTGCTGCTGCTGCTCCTCGTCCTCCTTCAGTAGGGAGGTGAAGTCCACTCCAGACCTCTGCAGATCCGTGTACGATCCCTTCGCCACCATGTGACCCTGAGAAAACGCGCAGTCAGGAACCTCAGCGCAGCCGTCGCCGTGGGTTACAGACCAACACAAACATCTGAACATCTGGGTGCCGTGTTTACATTCCAGCAGACGTTTAAACAACTCCTTCACCAACACCAGCGTTCATCAACTAAAAACTTTTAAGGCCGTTCTGTCTTCAGTGATCATGAGCAGAGGCAATCGTCAGAAACATGACTCCTCATTTGATGTGTTCTTAATAAAAATGTTCAGAGGACAGGTGGATCGAGAGAAGACTAAATTAATTTTACATGTTGACGCGTTGAAACGTGACAGGAACATCACATGTTGGTTGAAGATGTGACAATAATCCACAGCATGGACAGGTGGGCAGAAAGTAGCCGTCTACCAACATTTGGTCTGAGTGAAGCGATAACACGGTTCTTCGCTATAAAACGACTGGTCTTAGTTACTTAATATGTCTAAACTAGAGCCTGATCGATATATCGTTCAGATATATCGTAGGACCGATATTTTACACCGATATAGGCGTTTGCGGGCATATCGTATCGGTGATAATCGTCTCATTACATGCCGATATAAACACTGGGAACAAACTGTGTCTTTACTTGCAAAAGGCGTAATTGTACAATGTATCCAGCAGAGGGCGCATGCTCGGTGTAGACTACTTTCAAGTCATGGTCGTTCACTTTCACTTGAATGTGAAACAAAAAGGTGAACAAAGATCAAAAATTTGCAGCCAATATATCGATTATCGGCATTAGCATACCTCTCCCAGTATCATTACTGGTGATAGCCAAAATCACCATAATGGTCAGGCTCTAAACGTTTAGCACTTTAATTGTTGACGATCATGCCGGCGGTATTGACTGATCAGGCTGGTGTGAAAACATAAAGCGGAGCGTAAAATATTACGTCGTGGTAAAAGTCTGGAAAAGAAACAAACCTCCTTCAGAACGAGAATCTGATCCGCTGCCTTCAGGTACTGCAGCTGGTGCGTGACGAGGACGCGAGGCTTTTTCTTCAGCAGCCCACAGATGCACCTGAAACAAGGACACGGAACAAAAAGATGAGCTCTGGTCCCACTCAAATGTCTCAGCTGAATAAAAAAAAACTGGAATCATGCGCGTGTATTCCTCCTTTAATACGACCGTTATGAACCAGTCATTGGCATTACAGCTGGGCGATACGTCTTATTGTGCAACTAATAAGATTTCAAGGCTGCATTAAGACAGATGATATAAAAATCTGCTGTAAACAACTGCATTAATGTTAAACATGAATTTAACACGTTTGAATACATTCTGCTATTGGATTTATTTTTATTTGCCTTGAAGAAACGGGAAAAACATGAACTGCAGTAACGTTTACCGTATTTTTCGCCATACAAGTCACATTTTTGTATAAATTTGCAAGTCCTGCGACTTGAACACCAAAGCGAGTAATATATTCCCACCCCCATATTTATAACCCAATTTTTGGCTGAGCTCTAATATTTTTCATCTCAGAATGAAAGAAATCGTCAAACACTACCATTTGCAGCCACTAGAGGGCCCCCGAACCTGGATCATTTTTTCTGAGCCTGACCCGAAAACGACCAATTAACTGTGACTATAGGCCCAAACCCAAAAAAACATTTTTTTTAAATCAAGTATTTAATGCTTTTGTAAACAAATCAGTTTACCATGATTTAAAAATGTAAAAGTATTTATTGTAGTTATTGTAGTTATTACGCAGCGGCTGAGTCCAGTTAAGCTTCAGGTGGTTCACTGGCAGCGAGCCATCTGGACTCGTTTTATATCCCTTTCAACCGGCCAGTCAGCGCGTGGTTAAACGGCCGCGCGCGGCTGGTGATCCAAATTGGATCGTCAGCCGCACGCATCCGCTGACCCAATCAAAAGCCCAACACCGACCCGGCCCGCTCATCCAGCACATTAATTTTCTCACCCGGGCCGGGTGGCGGATCCAGGTTAAAAAGGACAGCTTTAATACTAATTAGGCCTTCACCGTACGCGACTGACTAAATGATGAATGTTGCTGAACGAAAGGACGTTTCTTTGTTCAATTTATATTTTTTTAACACACTTGATAACGTTATGGTGAATAGTGGAGGATAGAATATGTGAACACGGGTTAGGAAGACTGTTTGAAAACTTAAAAGTGCTAAAAACAGGTTTAAAGGAAGCCATTTACTTAGATTCTTGGGGGTGGACAAAGATCAAACATTTTCAGCCAATATATCTGTTATTGGTATTAGCTGTCCCTACAAATATCGATATCGGCGATAGCCAAAATTTCCATATGGGTTGTCTCTAAATGTTAAGAAAGTAGCAACTGTTAGTTCTTTTATGTCCAAGTTTATAAGACATAAAAATGAAAACTGAATCTTGTTCAACTGTCGCCCCCTTACAATGTTGTAATTGAAAGTATCACAGTCCGCTGTGAATAGCAAGTGGCCTTCAGGGCACTAACGACCAGTTGTTAGACAGATGGTCCTCCTTTACATGTGAGTAACTAGTTTTGGCTGTCAGCAGCAAACTACTTGATCCACTATGAGAAGGTGCTGTTCATAAGACTTTTCCAGCTCCTCAGAGTGAAGAAGTCTTTTGGATAAAAAATGAAACGTATCAATAAGAAGAATCCGTCCAGAGGACCTGACTCAACCTTGTTAGATAAAATAAATACAGTATTGTGTGCCGACTACACAGACAGAAGTCATGGACCACTAAATACCACTTATTCACCGTTCCACGTTTTCTGTCACTAAAATAAACCACATAAATAAAAGGTCAGTCATCAAGGAGCACGACTTTCACGACGAATGCGATTTCGCCATGTTGTACTTTCGTTTTGGTCGTATAAACTGGCAGAACAAAGTTTTCATTGCTGTGGGTAAACGTTGCGTTGAAAACATTGTTTAGCGGGGGGGTACCAGCAGTTCACAGTGCAGCTACTTTTTGGTGACAAAGCTTTTCTCAGGTTTCACAGGAATTTAGTTTCAAAACATCTCTGGTGAAATCTGAACCCCTGCCAGATTATAAAATCATAATCAAAACATTTAAGTTTTACAGGGGTGTGTCACAAACAGAGATTGTTTTTTTCCCCGTTATGGTTTGTGATCTTGTTATGTAAAACATCTCGCAGGGAATAAGTTGGCATATTCTAAGTATTTTTGAGACTTTGCTGAACCCTAGTTAGAACGTTCCTCAAGACGAAGAAGCAGAACTTGGCCTTGATCCTCTTCTCGTAACTCAACGCCCATAAATTATTTTGATCTTTTCTGTTTTCAGTAATCCAAATATCAACAAATGTTTCCACGAGACCAAGCTAAACAATGAGCGAGGCATGAAAACGTTGCCAAGTTCCCTCAAGGACAGTAAGAAGCTTTTTACAGACTTCCTCCTGCCGTGATCCGACTCCGAGGCTTCCTGGTCCAGCAGAGTACAATGCTCCTCGGCTTCAGAGAAGCTCCAGTGGTTTTTAAGTCAGATCAAGCATGGACAGAAAACAGCACAAGTGTTTGAGTCCACTCACTGTTCAAAGAGGTGCCGCCCAACCTCGGCATCAACGGCACTTAAAGGATCATCCAGGAGGTATATGTCTGCGTCCTGATACACAGCCCTGAAAAACAAAACGGGATGTCAGTCTGACCTGGAGCTACTGGATCCTTGAGGTCAACAGAAGAGAATTCAATTCACTTCAGTTTATTATAGCGTCAAGTCACAACAGAATCTTCTTCATGCAAGTTAGTCATGGAGTTCCTCAGGGTTCAGTGCTTGGCTCAATACTCTTTACCTTGTATATGTTTCCATTAGGTAAAGTTATTAAACAGCATGGGATACATTTTAATTGTTATGCTGATGATGCACAGTTATATTTGTCCATGATCAGCTACTTAGGCTAAAAGCATGTCTTGCAGACATAAAAACCTGAACGACCCTTAATTTTCTGCTTTAGAATACAGACAAGACTAAGGTTTTGGTTTTTGGACTTGAGCATCTTAGGAATAAACGTTTCAGTTTTTCCACCATCCTCGAATGGCAATCTGTCCTCCAGCTCTAATGTTAAAAATCTCGGTGTTATTTTTGATCAGGACATGTCTTTTATCCCACATTAAAAACGTTACTAGAACTGCCTTCTTCCACCTGCGTAATATCGCTAAAATTATAAACATCTAAATTTACGCAGAAAAACTGGTCCATAAATTCGTCACGTCTAGACTGGAATATTGCAATGGTTTATTATCTGGGTGTCCAAATACATCTTTAAAACGTCTTCAGTTGATCCAAAATGCTGCTGCCAGAGTCTTAACTGGAGTTAGTGGGAGAGATCATCTCTCTCCAGTTTTAGCTTCTCTCCATTGGTTCCCTGTCAAATCCAGAATTGAATTCAAAGTCTTACTTCTAACCTACAAAGCTCTCAACAACCTAGCTCCATCTTATATTCAAGATCTTTTTGTTCCATATTTTCCTAACAGAGCACTTTGCGCTCAGACTGGATGTTTACTTGCACTGGCCCATGAGGCCTCGGTTTTAAAACTAAACAGCGATCTGATCTTTGACCTCATGCAAGTCTAATCAGATGTTGGTAAATATACAGAAAGGTATTTTATTAAATATGAATAAAGGAGAAACATTTTTTCTGGTTGTTGCAACAAAGTCATTTCTTTCTTACCTGGCCAAGTTGACTCGAGCTTTCTGTCCCCCACTGAGTGTGGCTCCCCTGTCCCCTATCAGCGTCTGGTCCCCGTCTGGGAGCAGCTCCAGGTCCTGCAGAAATCCACAACATTTGTTATAAAACTAGAAACTCGCCAACTGAAACAGGCAAGGAAGCATAGTTCGCCTAGCATGGCCATATTTCTTCGTGAATCACCACTTTACTGTGGAGGGGCTGAATGTCCCAAGAACTCTAGAAGTTGTAGGGGGTCCTGTGGATGTTTGGTTCTGAGTGAGGTGGGTGCATACGACAGAAACAGGGCCTCATCCTGGAGTCAGACTTGGGGGAGAGGTCTATCTGTGATCGTTATGTGGCTGGGCCTTTACAACCTGAACAAACTAAGACTCTGACTGGACGATGTCAAAGGCAGACTGTAAAAGCTGGAAAACCTTTGCAACTGATTTAGCTCGACAATAAGCAACTGTGTCGTCGGCATAAAAATGTAAGGATGCATCAGGAATGATCTGACCTACATTACTTATGTAGATTGTAAAGAGGGTGGGTCCTAAGACTGAGCCTTGTGGTACACCATTGTTGACCTTGACCGTTAAATAACTGGAAGAAGTACCATTATGTTGAACACATTGCCTCCAATCTGAGAACGACATGACGGATGAACTGGATTGTCTGAGGTGGGGACCTTGGCGATCCAAACCTCCATTGTTGAAACTGGCTTTGGGGACCAGGAATGTCGGTGAGGAAAAGTCCGAGCTTGTGCAGGAGGTTCAAAGATATCGACTAGGTATAGTCAGGCTCATTCCAACCCCCAGTTTGGGCTTTGGAATGAACTTCCTGGACAGAAGCCGGACTTCAACCTACTTTGGGTCACTCTCATTGAGGGTTAGGGTTCTCCTGGTGGCCAGAGAGGTTGAACTCCAGATGGGAGAAAAGATACAGACTGTTGTCTGAGCAGGACGTCAGAGTATCCAGCTTTCTTGAAGTCTGACAGACAGATTTATACGATCATTGTCCTACAAGTTTGATTCCGTTTTAAAGGCTGAGCTAAAGATCAGCAACAGTACCGCATACAGCGCATTATACGCCCGTCAACCAAACTATTATACAGCAATCAGTAGCAATGGCCCGAACGAGCAAAGACCTTTTAACGTTGGTCTCTGCTTGGGTTTCAAAAATAATAATAGTTCAATCTTGAGCAAAAAAATGTAAATTAGGGAATAAATGTTTGTTTTTTTCGGGGTCAGTGGATGGAATTCAGTTAACGTAATACTAAATAATGATTACAACGTGGAGAACAGTTTGTTTTTGTCAGAGTTTAACTTTTAAATTAGAACTGGACTCTTTCACTGGACTCCTGCGTCACTCATTGATCTGACACTTCGTCAGAGACCTCTCCTCCAGACAGGCTGGTGAAGGTTAACGTCAAACTGCACCAACCGGACCTCCGAGTTGGCTTCAAACACAAAGAGGTGTCCGCCTCCGCTCCTCAGCTGCGCTTGCTTAACCTTTGGCTTAAAGGATGTCAACCATTAAGCTTCTGGAAGGCAGAATAATCAAAGCTGAAGAGAAGCAAAGCCTAACTTGTGCCTACAAATGAACAATTTACATTTGAATTTTAAAGCAGCGCCACCGAGCCTGGCACAGGTGCAAAGAGAAGCAACGAAAAATGACAAACGGGAAATGTTTCCAGACCTAACAAGAATATTCAACTCTGAAACTAATTAAAATCTGCACCTATAGAGGTCGACGTTCCAGAAAAATCTTCCACTTGGTGATACAAGCAGGAAATGTGGCTGGAATAATAACTAGGACCCACTTTCTCATAAAATCATGGTATCCACCTAAAAATTAAAGATGTATGTGATAAACAGCTTTTTCCTTGTAAAATTAAATACTTTGTGCAAATGTGACGAGTAGAGCGTAGTAGTTCTGTCATTTCTTTGTGGTACCAACAAAAATTCATGAAATATTTCAAACAGTTACACCGTTTTTGTATCGTAACCTCACAAGACATTCAAGTCCCTCGTTTATTGTATTAATATACATTTACTCATGATTCTTAAAATATTTTGACTTTTCTGATCCCAGAATTGAATTTAACATGCCCCAAAAAACAATATTTTGATGCAAAGATACGGAAATTTGAAGGACTTCGCTTTGATTCAGGTCAAAAACTACAACCAAAAAAAAAAAAAAAAAACGAGCCGTGAGCCGACGTGGATATGAAGTGCGTTTGTAGAATTGCTTGTCCAAGGCGGCTCAAAGCGACGGATCCTGATGAGAGGAGAGAGCAATGGATGGAGACACGTCCTGAACTGCGCACTGGCTGTTTTTTTGTTTTTTTTTTGGGGGGGGGGGGGGGGGGGTCGTCAGTGTGAGGGTTAAGCATGAGGTTGCCTTTAGCTTTTTAGCTAGCACACCTGTATTACGAGCCGCTAGCTTAGCGTTACGTCAGTGCCAACTGGTGGTTTGGGGGCGGGGCATGCCCGTGGTTCTGTTGACGGGGCGGGGTGTCCCGCTTGTATAATGGTAGGGGAAACACTGGCGGCAGCCATTTTAGATTTTGACATGACAACCCAATTTTCCAAAGGAAACATTTCTTTTGCCTAGCCACACACCAAAAATGAAGTCCAGACCTCACATATTGTTGAAGTTATGATGCACACAACATGCAGTGACGGATGGACGGAGAATATTTCCAATTCCCTCCTTTTGCTCCACACGGGGGACAAATATTTAAATTCTGAAGGGGGGCCACCTTAAAAAAAAACGGTTTATCAGACGTCTAGGAGATTGACTGTGTCAAATTTCCTGCTCATGTATCCAATGGAAAGATTCCCTCATCTTCAGCGCTGATGTATGGTGACCGTTCTATTCCAACACCAGTCCATATAACCAGGTACTGATTAGTTGATCTCTTGGACCAATTCTTATTCAGCTAAGAAAAGATTAAAAACCACTGCTGTGGTCAACTAGGGCGGCTGTGGCTGAGTAGTTAGAGCAGTCGTCCTCCAATGCAAGAGTTGGGGGTTTGATTCCACCAGCAGTCGCATGCCGAAGTGTCCCTGGGCAAGACACTGAACCCCTCGTTGTCTCTGATGTGTCCCATCGGTGCATGAATGTGATAAAGCTCTGATTAGTCTTTGTAGAGATCTAGTAGAGTGCTGAATGAATGGGTAACTGAGGACACAGATTGTGTTGTAAAGCGCTTTGAGTGTCTTGATCAGATAGAAAGGTGCTACACAAGTACAGTCCATTCACCATTTAACTTGCAACAGGACCATCTAGATGGCAGGAACAGAGCCAACAATAACTGACATGTAGCTGGAATAAAGAACCACTGACCGTGCTTAAAGAGCTGGAAGGAGAGGTTTGAGTGAGGAGGACGGTTTAGCGTTGGCTTTATTGGCAAAGGTTCAGACGTGGATGAAGGACCTTCAGATCAAGACCCCGTCAGGTCTATCTCCAGATCTGAACCCCACTGGGTGGTCACAACCATCAAACAGAGGTGATCGAGTTTCTGCTCAAGGAGAGGCCAAAAGTCACCCAACAGCATCGTGAACGTCTGGTGGGGAGCTGGGGTTAAACATGATGGGGGTTTGCACCCAACTTGTATTTCTGATCTCTGCGTAAATTATAAAACAAACGCTGCGATGTCTAAAAATGAACGCGACCACGTTCTCTTCGCATTCTTTCTGATCATCCGTCGGCTTCCACAAACGCTCTAAATGGTATATTTGTTTTAATTTAGTAAGGAACGTCGGGTTAAAAGAAAAGACAATTGAAAGGCAGCCAACAATTATTAACGACCTGAACCGCAACGCGTACCCCCCCACAAAACTTGTATCAAAACGACCGGCTCGGCGCTGTGATGTGCGCCATTACTTTGATTAGCGTTTCGAGTTACCATGGCAACAAAATTTGCAAACAAAGACGCTGTTATTCTCATAGAAAAACACAGAGAATCAACAGCCTCTAACTGCCACAGTGAGGTCACATGACCCAGAGGGGAGAGGTCTCTGAACAAAAACACCGTTTAACTTTTGGAGCCATTTTGGATCAAGATGGCTGCCATAGCTACCTCAGAAAACACAAAACTGACTAACTCAGGCATTCTTTGAGGTATTGAGCTGAAATTTGGTTTGGTCGTAGGTGACAGCGAGTCGTTATCCATTCCTTATGCAAATTAAAAATCCAAGATGGCCGCCTTAGCTACAAGGGAAAAAATACGATAGCGCAGCTATTTTGCACGATACTGAGCTGACGTTTGGTGTGGTCGTACCCGACAGCGACGCACAACACATTCTGAATTCAAACCTAAATATTCAAGATGGCTGTCGAAGCTAATTTTAAAGGGTCAAAAGTTCTCAGAGGTTTTTTAGAGCTATTCAGCTGAAATCTGGTGTGTTGGTAGCTGAGAACAATCCCTAATAGATTGAAGATGGCCACCAAAGCTACATTTAAACAGCTGTAATTCAGCTATTTTTACACACATAAAGCTGAAATTTGGTGGTTATAGCTGAGAAGGTTCCCCATCACATACTTAATCCAAATAAATATCCAAGATGGCCACCATAGCTTAAAATAATATAACGCCTTGAGTTGTTGCCATATTGAGCTGAAATTTGGTGTGATGGTGGCTGAGAGAAACCCAAACACATAGTACTGTCAAATCAAATTTTTAAAATGGACGCAACGTGGCAGTCCTCGTAAAAGTTTCTTAAAGAAGTGCCGTTACAAAAAAAATCTCCGTCTCTTAATTTGATCCAGAGTTTACAGAAGTGATGCTGATAATAACCAAAAGTCAAATAATGTTCTGTTCGATTCTTTGGTCCTTAATACTGATTTTATCCAACTTGGTGTCATAGAACAAGTCAAATCTAAAGGTTTAGGTTATTTTCTCTGAATTTCACCTGTACCAGACACATTCATAACTCCGTTTCTTCAATCTGGAAGGCGAGCAGCTGTGAATGGAGTTTTTCTGAAGTCCAGGTTAAAATCAGTCTCACCCGTTTCAAGGCACACGCTTTGATGACTTTCTCGTACTTCTGGGGGTCCAGTTCTTTCCCAAACAAGATGTTGCTCCGAATGGTTCCAGGAAAGACCCAGGGCTGCTGCGCCGCATAGGTCAGCTGACCTTTGACCTTCACCACGCCTTGGTCTGAGGGCAGTTCTCCCAGGATGGAGCTCAGTAAAGACGACTACGTGAAAACACAAAGAAAGGTTTGGGTCTGACATGAGCCGACTGAGGAAGTCCAGGTCCAGTAGGCCTAAAAGATGGAACTCATCTGACCTTTCCAGCTCCTACTGGTCCGATTACAGCGAGCAGCTGATTGGAGTTGAGGGTGAAGGAGACGTCTTGCAGAGATGGAGCATCTAAAGTCTGCAAAATAAACAACAGGCTGCTTTTAAAGAACACAGAAATCGTTTATGGAATGCAGTTCTACCATTTAAAAAAATAAAACCACAGATTTTCAGTTTTCTTCTGACCTTGTCCCAGTAGCAGATGAGGTCATGGATCTCCACGCCAGGATCCTTCTTGTCTTCCTGCAGCAGAGCCGAGCTGTTGGTGGTGATCTCATCCAGCAGCAGGAACTCCTTCACCACGACGAACAGAAACAGAAAATTTTAAAAAAATGTTTCCTTTACCAAGAAATGTGATTCTTTAGCTTCATTACGTTTAGTTTTAAAAAGTTTGGATGAACTTCAAGAAGCCGAGTCACGTTTCAACAGGATAAACAGGAGTTTAATGGGTTGAGTGGTGGCGCAGAGGTTAGAGAAGATGTTCCCGTCATCAGAAAGTCGCAGGTTCACCTCCCGGTACCATCAACATCAAATTGTGGGTGGAAAAGGTGAAACACCCGCACCTGCATCCACCCTCACACGCCCCGCTCTGGGCCCCTGAGCAAGGCCCTTAACCCCCACCATCTGTTTCCCTAAAACAAGTCTCTCTTGAAAATGAGTTCACATGGCTCAATGAGACTACCTGTATAAATAAAGGTAAATTAAAATTAAATGATTGGGGATGCTTGAATTTATCGTTCAGGTTCACCTGTTGCTTTTAGATGCAGTGGTCCGCGAAGAACATGTCTTACAGTGTCATCAGGGAGAAGAGATTCATGCAAAATTTACAAGCTCACTTTGTCGATATTATGTTCCAGACGACATAAAAAACAGCTGCTGTTTCTGTGTATTTATAGGCATAATAAATCTCCATCTTCTACCGCTTATCTGTAGTTGGGTTACAGAGGCAACAGGTCCAGAAGAGTAACCCAGACATCTCTCTCACCAGCGACGTTCTCCAGCTCCTCCTGGGGGACTCCAAGGCATTCCCAGGCCACAGAAGATATGCAATCCCTCCAGCAAGTTCTGGGTCTTCCCCAGAACCTCTTCTTAAGTAAAACATGCACTGAAAACCTCCAAACCTCCATCCTAATCAGGTGCCTGAACCACCTTAGCTAACCTGACTGATGTGAACGAGCAGCGGCTCTACCCTGATCTCCTCCTGGATGATGAAGCTCCTCACCATTTCTCTGAGGCTGAGCCTGGCCACCTCATGAAGGAAGCTCATTTCAACCACTGTATCTGGCATCTTGTTCTTTTGGTCATGATCCAGACTTCATGACCACAGGTGAGGGTTGGACAATAGACATACCAGAAAATAAAGAGCTTTTTTTCACTCTCATCACTGAGGACGAGATCCGTCTCACGCTCCATCCTACCATCACTCGTGAACAAAATGCTCCACCTGAGACAAAGACTACACCCCCCCACCCCCCGACACAGAGGGGGCATTTCGCTTGTTTCTTTTTGAGATTTATATGACTGGCTTTGGCCAAATGTTTTTTGTCTATGTTGCATATTTTTGCTTCTTTATAAGGAACATTTTTTATATTTTCTTGTGATTGTTTATTATTATTGTTGAGCTGTCAAACTCTACAATCAGGCCAATGTGTGACTCCATTACACACACTAAAATAATAACCATTAGATTTTAGTATTATATAC